AAGATGAGTTGTTTCTAATAAATATAACCCGAACGTAACGATTAAAAGAAAAGTACTTGGATTTTTTTAAATATATCTCTTGCTACGCGTGTATAATTTGGGAGGAGAAGATTTAAATTTTGTTATAGTACGAAAATGAACCTGACTTGCCTTGTCCAAATCGAAGCAAACTGCCGCTTTGCAACTCTAGGAGTTAAAGGCTTTAGGGGGAAATACGGAACCACAATCAATTTGATCGCCTGCTGTCAGTAAAAGGACGGAAATGATTTTATATTTTCAAATTCTAATGTAAACAAATATTGGTCTGTCTCCTGATTTTTAACTAAAGTTACACAAGAGCTGATTTTTCCTGCATTCAAAATGAAGACACATTTGCGTCGAGGTCTTATTCCAACAAACTTTATAAATCATGCTGTTTCTAAGATTGATGCTTTTTAATTGCAAATATGCATTTAAAAAGAATTTACGATATCAAATATTCCCTTAAGAGATTTTTGGCCGATTGAAATTGAACTGAGTAAATTACTAGTTCCTACAGTGTTATTGACACTGCTGATTTGTTGTATTTCAATGTTAAGTGCAATTTATCTTTCATTTGATTACAAAGTCTTGCGGTCGGATGTATTTAAGCGCCTAACGTCTCTTACTGACAGCTATACTTCTATATCCCCGTTAACGTCTATTGGTAAAATCTTTGCTTCCATTATGAAAGACGTCACATTGCAGATTATTCTGTCAACCGTAGGCAAAGTTGACGAATATCCTCCTGCAAGCCAACCTCGAGCGCAGGGTAATTTTTGCTCTTTGTCAGCGTTTTGATCGCCAAATGACCTAGGTATGTCATGTATGGGGAATTATTATCTACTCAATACATATTATGTCCTATACTTTACATACATACAGTAAAGTCCATAATAATTCCCCATACATGACCTGCCTACAACAAAAAACGACCATACCGCTGACAATGAGCCAAAATGACCCTGGGCTCGAGATTTCGAGATTGAATGCAATCTTGAGGTTAAACTTGAGTCGGGTTGTGGTGTTGTGCCACAGATCAAACGTCGGCTCAAGTGGCAACGTTGTAAGGAATTAGTGACGTGCTCTCAGGCTGTCTCACACGAGTAAAAAACAAGAACTCAAGCCAGCAAGTCACTGTGTTTTAAAGACATCTTATGTCAGCTTTCAAACTCTTTACGGTGGCCAATCTACGTTAACGACTCAGTTGATAATACTAAATTGCGGGTATATGTTTGATGTTTTAATTTTTTCATAAAGTCATAAATGAGTACACTAATATAGACATTTCTCATTTTATTCTGTTGTACTCAGATTCTGTAAAATACTCTCAGAGGGGGGACAAACAATTTTCAAATTCAGCTTTTTTAACAGGATTGTTGATAGGTGGAATGCTTGACCACGGTCAACTCGTTGTGCTCCAAGATTTTTAGTTCTAAGAACTGTAAGAAGAGAGTAGCTGATTTCTTGGCTACACGATAGTCTTTTGCATATTTCAGTTATAACTTTTACTCTCCTATATACAGAATTCCGTTCTCTAATTTCTTTTTTTTTCCTTAAGTTTAAGGTTTTCGTTCTCGTATGGGATCCATAATTCTTTTGCTGATCATCCTTGTGGCATTCTCTATGTTTCTTAGTCTTTCTTGCCATTAAATTGAAATATATGTCAAATAAATGTAAAAAATACCGACGATACTTTGGTCGCTTTGGTAAAAAAGTTTGTTTTGAAAATTTAAGTGAGTCAGATGCTTGGGGAATTTAACGGATTCTTTGTTATGAACAAATAAAGAAGTCTTGACTGTTCTCTGCTCTGTTGTAAAGCGCTTAGGAAGCAGCTAGAGCACTCAAGAGGTGAGGCGAAACTCTCAACCACGTCTTGTGTTTTCCCATTGACTTCTTTCCTCTTTTATCCACTTCCTGCGTGTTTTCCAACAGAACAGAGCACAGTCAACGCTTCTTTGTTTGTTAATTTTTAGGGAATTTCTTATTTATACGTTGTTGAGTTGTTGATAGGGTCAGTTAAAAGACCGGAGTTAAAGAGGGTGGTTTTTGTTAGTTAAGTTAGTGAGTTTTTGTTAGGGGGATGAAACCAGAAACTGGTGTAATTCTGGAAATTAAATGAGCTGAAAAGCGGCGATTTTCACAACTTTGACGAGAAAGTGTTAAGTAGCAATTTAAAAGAAAGCTTGAAGGCGCTGTCATAGTAAGACTCAATAAGGGAAAGTTCACTCAGGATTTCCCTATTTTTCGAGTGCGTTAGAGAATGGCCCCATATTCCTGTGCTGAACACTGCCCCCGCTTCGTGTGTTTTCGACAACCCTCTGAAAATGCTCCGTTGATAAACAGCTCAAAAGGTAAAAGTGAACGCAACCCAAGAACATGTCATTGAAATCAAACTAAGTGCTGGTAAATTATCCTGAATCTCAAGAATTAAACGCAGATTAATGGGGAATTAACTATGGCAGCATGAAATTGATCTTTGTTGTGGAATAACAAATATTTCCTTTCAAGCTTGACTATATTCCACGAAGTCACAAGAACTGCTTAAACTTCAATAGCTGGATAAAATTAACCGCATGGGTCCCCAGCGTGTAGATACGGGGGTTAGGTAGTTTTCAAATACCTATATATTGTATTTTTTCGATTAAACGCGATAGCCAATCTAAAGAATGCGGCACTCAGAGTGGAGTACACATTGAAACTGTAATGATGTAGTTTTAAGTATTGTATTGTAAGATCATAATGATGTTTGTTAAAATAATAAATTAATTGAAAAGATAATAATAAAAAATTGCGGAATTTTTTTTTATTAGAATATTATGACAAAACAAAATAAATCTATATTACACATAACAAGGGAGTAGTCTACATCATTCTACTTATACAATTTACGGGCCAAATAAGTAAGATGCTGTCTTGGCAAAGAAGGAATTCATTGGATCGTGAAGTCAACACCTCAAATGTTTCTGATTTTTCCTGGCTGAATATTACATTTCTCTTCCTTGAAGTTCGTTTGAGTAGAACCAGCCTCGGAACTATAATGTTACCCAAAGACAGATGTTGCTTCTGAGCTGTTAGCCTACTCGTAGCCGTACCCTCACCCCCCCCCCCCCTTTTGCCTATCCTTTTGTCAATTCTGATTGACTAGAGTTGGTAATTTATTTTCATTCTAACAAACAAGATGGTGAACAAAATGCTTTCATGGTCGACTTTTCAGACAACAGCGATCTACGACGAGGTTTTAAGGCAAGTTTGCACGACGTTTGGGATAGAGACATTTCAAGAACAGCAGAAAGCCATAGATATATTTTTCGAAGTTAACGATGTCTCTGTTTCGTTACCAACTGGCTATGGGAAATCTTAAATATATCAAGCAGTGCCAGTGACCGATCGCCTCTCCTCTCCAGAACAACCAGTCACTATATTTACCGTGCCAACAAACTTTCGGTCTCTTTGCTAAAGGTGTTGCGAAGCTATTGAATTAAAGCTAGTTGTTTCTTGCAACGAATATTTCGAATGAGAAAAGTTTGCAGCGTAACTATCTCTCAAAGAAATCTGTAAAAACCTTGAGATTCTGCGGCAAACGATCCAACTTTTTTCGACGACTGTGGCATTGTTTACAAATGCAAGCAAAAAGAGCGTTGACGTTGAAATCTAGTTTCGTAAACGCGATGCTTATCGAACATTGTCCTCTTCTTACTCTATACCAAAAATCTAAAGCAAAGTATATATTTGAACTTGGACGCTGAATTGCAAATTTGCCCAAAAAATGGAAAATGAATTCCCTTTAATGTTGTTGTTTATCTTCCGTTTCACCTTGAGGGCGTGGTGGGGGAGGGGGGAAGGTGCGGCTACACGTGTGAGTGGTGACACTTCCGTGACTTGTTCATGGACTAAACCTCTGATGGGCAGCAAAGTGCTTGTCTAATTGTCGCCTTCACTTCTTGTCTCACCTCACTAATTTTCCAACAGTAAAGGAAAGGGTTAAGCGTAGAGTTTAACTTAACCAGAGTTACAACACATTCTAAGACAATCAAGTCAAACGTAGACAATTTTTCTGTAGTAAGGTTGACTGTTGTAATACTGTACGGTAGAAAGCAAAGTACGAGTGCCACCTGCACCCATAGTGCACTGTATACCGCTTTCCTGTATCGCATCATATTCAGGGAGACTTGCTGGCCCGGTTGTTGCGGTTCATTAACTTGCATTTGATTCTGGTGACGACGGAGAGAAAGGAAAATAGTTGTGTACGAGAACGTTGCTGTCATAATACAAAATGGTGTGACGATGTAGTTATGCCAGATGATTACTTGGGGATTCACAAAGTAGGAATTCGCGGTGACTGTGGCCACAACCCAAATGATGATAACGAAGACATATGTTCGCTTTAAAGTAACAACATGTTTGTACCTCAGCCCCAGTAACAAGGCAAGAAGTCTGTCTATACTTATGGCTGTAACTGTAAACAGAGAGACTGAAAATAGAGGAAAGCCTACCATAAAACGCGTGGTCACTGCATAGCGACAGAGTTTCCAATCTTCGTGAATGAGAGAAAACCGATAAACAGTTGCAACCGGCTCCAATATAAGACCAGCGCAAAGATCTGTTGTTGCCAGACACTTATACAAGAGTTTGGACGGTTGATACAGGACAGTTTCTTTGTGAAGCGCGACAAGGATCAAGGTATTGCCAAGAATAGCGTTAAAGGCTAAAAAGACGCTGATAACTGAAATGCCTATCAAAGCTTTATATTCCTCATCTGTCCATCCTCCCGTGCATCGTAGTTGGACAAGATATTCAGCTGGATCTCTTGCATCTCCAGTTAGGTTTACTTGTGTCATTATCGCTATTGCAGCATACCAACATCCAAGGAAGGACTTCTCCGAGTTCCGGCTCGTTTAAAGGCGGTTACCGGTTACCATCTCAATTTTGCTTTCCAATCTTTTCCTTTAAGAGAAAAATAATATCCTTTGCTCTTTAGT